CCTCTGAAGTTCAGCGGTGAGAGTCCTGCGCGCCTTGTTTGCGGGGTCCTGTTCTACTTGGGGGGAGGGGGGACAGGCTCGGAGAGCCACCCCCCCTTTGGGATCATGTGCAGGAACATGCCCCCCAAAAAACCCACAGGGGCAGGGCAGAGATGGTCACTTTCGACCACGGGGTTCCAGAGGGCTTTTTCTAGGACATGCGGGAGAATTCTGCTGGCTAAATGGGGTCCTTTTCCCTTCTCACCATATCGCGGGAGAGATCGCCGCAGACTTTAAGCGGAGGGCAGTTGTTGAGCCGGTGATGATGATGGGGAGAGACGGCCGGTAACCGATCATCTTTCTTTGCTGGAGTTTCGGAGAAGGCAGCCGGGTTAGTTGCGGAAGCACGTCAGGCAAACGCCAAAGGAACGAGACGAGACAAGACAAAAACGGGTGGCACCTTTAAAACTAAGGCTCATCCTTTGATGTGAGCTTTCGTGGCCAAGTCCCCTTCATCAGACATAGTATTAAAACAGAAAAGTTGGTCTTTAAGCTGCCACCTGTTTTTGTCCCTGATTTGTTTCGTTCTGTTCTGTTCCTTGGGAGATTGCCTTTATCTGTCGAGAGATCCGCAGAAGGGCAGGCAGGGAGCTCCAGCCTGCGTTTCCCGGGCAAGAGAAAGAAAGGCGGACGGAACCTGTCTGTCCGGGACAACCCGCACCCTTCGCGGCAGGAGGCCCCTGCCAGGAGAACCGGGCGGCGGCGGCGGCGGCGGCGTCACGGGCCAGATTGCCACCCATCGACGAGGCGGCTAAAGGCCGGGAGAAGGACTTCCTTGTTTACCTCCAGCAGCCATGGAGGCAAAGGTCGTCCAATCATCCCCCCCGACGAAAAAACAAAACCACCACCAACAAAACACCACACACTCTCACCTTTTAAATTGTATTTTGGTGGGCCAGTCTAAATCTCCCCTCCTCTGTTGCTGCCGCCACTCAGATGGCTGCCCATCTCTGGGCCCCGGGATTTCGGGAAGGAGGCGGGGCCTTTTTCATCCCAGGGAAGGGGCAGAGGTCTCACGATTCAGGCCGAAAGAAGGTGCCTTAGGGACCCCCCCGGGCGAGCTGGAGTTGTCCTGGGTTAGATACGGGAGGCAAGCGGGGGGAGGGGTGGGTGGAGAGAGGGAAACCGGGGGGGGGAGAGAAAGGGGCGGCCCTTGTGTCGGTCTCCGAATTCCAGGGAAAGGCGGCCACCCAACCCCCCCCCGCCCCTGCTAAGCGGTGGCATTCCAGGCGGGGGAGGCTCTGGACAGCATCCCGGAAGCATCGGGAGTCTGTGAGGCCTTGCAGGGGAAGCGGCCCTACCCCCCCTCCCGGGGGGGGGGTGGACAGGCAACAACATTGTGTATGTGTGTGTGTGTGCGTTTGAAGTTGACATCACATAAGGAGGCAAGAGTGCAACACGGACCCTGTTCGAAAGGGTTCCTCCCCCGCCCCCCAACCCAGTTCGTGCAAGGGGGCTCCTGGTATGTGTGTGTGTGTGTGTGTGTGTGTCAAAGCCCCTTCTCCTCCCGTCCCAGGGAACGCCTGCTCCCCGAAGGCCCGCCTGGAGGGTGAAGGGACGGTCCTTGAGGCGCCGCCGGGCCCTCGCCCTCCCCGTCGCCGGGCCCGCTCCCCGGCCTTCCCCCGCGTCTCCACGTTGTCCACAGAGCCGGGGTTCCTCCACGGTCATGGCTGGTCGGCTGAGGCAGCCCCCCCATCCCCCCAATTCCCTGGCGGGGGAAGAGCACGAGGAAGGGCTCCTCACGCGTCCGGGTGCTTCGGGGAGCGCATCGCCCGGGCTGTCGGGGCCGGACGCGGGAAGGGGGAAGTTTCCTCCTGCCAGAACCAGCCTTGTCGGATCCGGCGGGGCCTCCCCCGGGGGGGTCGCCCCCCCCCACTTCACGCGCGCT